TTAAGGCTTTCATTTGTCAATGGATGTTTAGCTTGTTCCTGCCACTTGGTTATTATGAACAATGCAGTAATGAATGTAGAAGTACATATATCTGTTCAAGATCTTGATGACTCTTTTGAGTATATACCAAGAAGTGGGATGATTGGATTGTATAGTAAATATACTTTTAATTTTTGGAGAACCTTCCATACTGTCCTGCGCAGTAGCTACATTTTTACATTTCCACTAACAGTGTGCAAGGGTTCCAATTTCTCCATATTCTTGCCGGCATGAATTTTCTGGGTTTTTTTTTTTAATAATGGCCATCCTAATTGCTATAAGGTTATATCACATTATGGTTTTGATTTGCATTCCTTAGATGATTAGTAATATTGAGCATCTTTACATATATGTGTTGGCCATTTGTATGTCTTTTGGAGAAATTTCTATTCAAGTCCTTTGCCCATATTTTAATTGGCTTATTTGGTGTTTTTGTTTGTTTTTTGCACATATAACAGGAGTTCCATATTTATATATTTTAACCCATTATTAAGTAGTTTGCAGATATTTTTTCCTATTCCATAGATTGCCTTTTCACTCCATTGATTGTTTCCTTTATTGTGCAGAGCTTTTTAGTTTGATGTAGGCCCTTGCCTGTTTTTGTTACATGTGCTTTTGATGTCATATCAGAGTCATTGCCAAGACCAAAATCAAGAAGCTTTTCTATATTTGTTTCCTTCTAGGAATTTTATAGTTTCAGATCTTATGCTGAAGTGTTAAACCCATTTTGATTTGATTTCCATATATGGTTTAAAATGAGGTTCTAATTTTATTTTGCAAGTGACTGTCTAATTTTCTCAACATTTTGTTGAAGAAACTATCATTTCCCTATTTTCTGTTCTTGACACACTTCTAGAAGATCAGTTTACTGTAGATGCATGGATATATTTCTAGGCTCTCTGTTCTTTTCCATTTCTATGTATCTGTTTATGCTAGTACTATACTGTTTTAATTACTCTTGTTTTGTAATAAGTCTTGAAATAAGGAAGTGTGAGATCTATAGCTTTGTTTTTTCTCAAGACTTTTTTTCTTGTTTGGCTATTTGGAATCATTAATGGTTCTATATGAGTCTTAAGAGCTTTTCTATTTTTGTTTAAAAATGCCATTGAGACCAATAGAAATTGCATGGAATCTGTAGATTATGGTGGGATATATGGATATCTTAACAAAATTGTCTTCCAATCCATAAACACAGGGCATCTTTACATTTATTTGTGTCTTCTTTAATTTCTGTCCATAACACTTTTTTTCGGTGTGTAAATCTTTCACCTCCTTGGTTAAGTTTATTCCCAAATATTTTATTCTTTTTGATGCTATTGTAAATGGGATTGTTTTCTTAATTTCATCTTACTATTGTTCATTTTTAGTGTATAGGAAACACAACTGATTTTTCTGTTAATTTTGTATCCTGCAACTTTATTGAATTTATTCTCTCTCTCTGTTTTAAAGGGTCTTTAGTCTTTTTATGTGTATGATCATTTTATCTGGAAATAGGGGTAATTTTACTTCTTCCTCTCTGATTTGGATGCATTTTATTTATTTGTCTTGCCTAATTGCTTTGGCTATGACTTCCAGTACTATATTGAACAGAAGTGGTGAGAGTAGACATCCTTCCCTTGTTCTTGGTCTTAGAGAAAAAGCTTTTTCCTTTTTACTGTTGAATTTGATGTTACCCATGGGCTTTTCATATATGGCTTTTATTTTATTGAAGTAATTTCCTTCTCTTACTAGTTTGTTGAGTGCTTTATCATGAAATAATATTGAATTTTGTCAGATGCTTTGCTGCATCTATTGAGATGATCATGTGATTTTTTTCAAATCTTTTGTTCTGTTAGTATGTTGTATCACATTGATTTGTTCTATGTCGTACTGTCCTTGCATCCCAGGGATATGGTGTATGATCCTTTTAATATGCTCTTGAACTTGGTGGTATTTTGTTGAAAATTTTTACCCCTGTGTTTGTCCAAGACATTGGCCTATACTTTTATTATACTGCTGTTTTCTAGGTTGGTATCAGGGTAATCCTGGCCTCTTAAAGTGAGTTTGGAAGTATTCCTCCTCTTTAATTTTTTTAAAGAGTTTAAGAAATATTTGCATTAATTCTTTAAATATTTGATAATTTTCACCAATGAAGCCATCTGATCTTGGGCTTTTCTTTGTTGGGAAGTTTTTCATTACTGATTTAATCTCATTATTTATTACTGCTTTGTTCTGTTTCTTCATGATTCAGTCTTAAGTTATAAGTTTCTAGGAATTTATCCTTTTCTTCTGTGCTATCCAATTTGTTGATGTATAATTTTCATAGTTTTGCATAAGGATTTTTATTTCTGTAATATTATTTGGAATATCTTTAATTTCTGGTTTTTATTTGAATCTTCTGTTTTTCTTAGTCTACGTAAAAGTCTGTCAATTTTGTTCATCTTTTCAAAAAACCAAGTCTTAGCTTCATTTTCCTCTCTTTATTTCATTTATTTCTGGTATAACCTTTCTTATTTCTGTCCTGCTAACTTTGGTCTTAGTTGTTTTTTTCTCCATCCTTGAGGTATAAAATTAGGTAATTTCATATCTTTCTTTTTTTAAATGTAGAATTTTTTGCTGTGAAATTAACTCTTTCACTAAATCCCATAACTTTTAGTATATTGTTTTATCATTTTAATTTGTCTCAAGATACTTTGTAATATCCCTTTTTATTTATTTTTTTGTTGTTGTTGTTATTGTTTTTGTTTGTTTTTAGATAGGGTCTCACTATGTTGCTCAGACTGGTTTTGAACTCATGGCCTCAACTGATCCTCCTCTCTGAGCCTCCCAAGTAACTGAGACTGCAGGTGTTTGTGGCTGCCTGTGGCTGAGTGTGTTATTTAATTTCCACATATTTGTAATTTTCCAGTTTTTTTTCTGTCAATTTCTAGTTTCATTTCAATGTGGTCAGAAAAGACAATTTTATTTCAGTCTTTTTAAATTTGTTATGGCTTATTTTGTGACCTAATTTGTGACCTATCCAGGAGAATGTTTCACGTGCACTTAAGAATATATATATTCTGTTGTGGTTTTGTCAAAATGTTCCATATATGTCTATTAGGACCATTTGATCTATAGTGTTGTTCAAGTTCTCTTTTTCTTTATTGTGTGTGTGTGTGTGTTGTTGTTGTTGTTGTTGATGTTGGGAATCAAACCCAGGGCCTTGCACGTGCTAGGCACTCTATTACTGAGTTTACATCCCAGCCCACAGTTTTCTTTATTGATCTTATATCTGGATGTTCTATTCGTTATTGAAAGTGAATATTGAGATCTACTATTGTGATGCTATTTCTCCCTTCAGTTGGGCCATTGTTTGCTTCATATATTTCAGTCCCTCTGGTCTTAAGTGCATCTGTATTTATAATCTTTATGCCTTTCTGGTGAATTGACATTTTTATCATTGAATAATGTTCTTTTCTGCTTTAGGGACAGTTTTTTGACGTATTGTCTATTTTGTCGGGCGTAAGTATGGCCACCCCTGCTCTCTTTTTGTTACCATTGCATGGAATATCTATTTTTTCATTTTCAGTCTATATGTCCTGAAACCTAAAGTGACTTTCTTTTAGTCAGCATATACATTGGTCATGTTTATTTTTTCCATTCAGCTATCTTTTGGTGAGTTTAATCTATTTACATTTAAAGTAATTATTGATAGGGAAGGACTTACTGCCATTTGTTAATTGTTTTCTGTTTGTCTTATATATCTTCTTTCAGTCTTTCCCTCTCAGTTATCTGCGTTTGTGGTTCATTTGTTCATTTTTTAAATTTGGTTTGGTTTGGTTTTGTGCTTTGATTTCTTTCTCATTTCCTCTGTATATCTTCTTTAGGTATTTTATTTGTGATTACCATAAACATAACAATCTGTTTTAAACTGATAACAGTTTAAGATCAGTCACATCAAGAGCTCTTTTTGTGCTCAAAATTTTTAATGGCTTCCCATTCCTAATTGATAGAATATTTTCTCTTATTTCGCTGAGGATACTAGTTACAGAATTTTTTCCCTTCATGGTCTCTGTTTTCCCACATTTACTTTCTGTTCTGTTACCTGTTTTTCACACATTAGGGGTTTTCCTCAGATGCCTGAAAATTCATGCTTATATGTATGAATAAACAAGAACTAAAAAGCTGTTTGGCAGCTCTAATAACATGAATGGCCCATGTGGACTTTGAACTTCACTTTAAGGTGATCTAGTCCGGCCTTTTGTTGGAGAAATTCCCCATCCCAAGTCAGTATTTTCACATCTTTCCTCTTTGGGCTTATCGGTGTCCCCAGAAGAGACTGTTCCAAGTGCTTTTTTCGAGAGAGTACTACAAACATTCTAGGAGCCTAATGGTGAAAAAGGCCCTGGAGAGCTCAACATTTAGTATGCATTCTTTTTCTTAGTCTCCTTGCTTTTGGAAATCATATTCATGTCTTCAGGGTTATATGGCATTCCCCACCTTCTGACAATGAACCTCCAGTATTCTACCAGAATCAGTGCGCTGCCCAGTGAGCATATTGTGGATGAGATTATTTAAAGATCTAATTAGTTTTTAAACAGCCTTCCACCTAACAATGTTATTTAAAACCCATGCCCTCACATCCATTTCCAGAGATACCTGAAGCTATCAATTCCTGAACTATTTAAAGATTCTTAAGTAGAGATTGGGTAGGTGCCACTACTGGTTTAATGTCCAGCTTTCTTAGTATGCTGAGTTGTTCCTACTCATCCAATTATTTTCCAGCTTCCAAAATATTATTTTCATGTCCTTTTTGACCTTCTTGGTTTGGGTCTGTATTTCTTTAATCCCTGTAATTTTAGAGAGTTCTCTGGAGAGTGTAAAATTAAATAAATGTGTTTGATCCACCATCTTTGTCTGAAACTAACTCATTCTAACCATAAATAAAAGAGTTGTCTTACCTTCCTTATATGTTATTTCTGTTGATCCTCAATTTACATTAGGTGTTATACCTGAAGAACCTTAGCCCTCGGGTGACTGAAAGAGATCTTGTGTCATTGTTCGCTCGGTTCCAGGAGAAGAAAGGACCTCCAATTCACTTCCAGATGATGACTGGACGAATGAGAGGACAGGCTTTCATCACCTTTCCCAGTAAGTAACTTCATGTAGATAATAATTTAATTACAGCCTCAGTTCTCTAGAAACTGCCTATGCTTCTGTGATTTAGATACAGCCCTTTGATTTCTCTGCAGTACATGAAAAGGGAGGTGAAATAAGGAAAATATGTTTTCAGTGTTCCTCTTCCCCCTGTCTGTGTTTTCTCCCCTCTGTTGACAATGTATGACGCATGTACGTCAGTGTCCTCAGTTTTCCCAGTCTTGGCATTTCCTGCTTACCCTACCAAAATTTGTTTTCCTTTTGCTGACAATAGTATTTCTAGTCCAAGTTGTAATTACATTATTCACTACTAATTGTAATTACACAATTCACTAATATATTGATATTCTGATCAGAATACATATACTTTCTTTATGCCCTACTCCTTTATGACTGACTGCAGTTAATATACTAATTCATTACTGATTTATAACTAATGAATGATGATATATTCTAAATGTCACTTGCCTGTTAATACATGGCTTCAAGTGTTCTGACTGAAGTGTAGAATAATATAGGAATCTTGATTTGTGTGATAAACCAGCCAGTATATCTTTTTGGCAAGAGGTTAGGTAAGATCAGTATCTTTAATTGTCCTTAAACTGTCATCATTTATACATAGTATGCTAACTTGTATGTAAGCAAGTGGTTACACCAGTACTGTAAAACTCCCCTCCATTGTTTTCCTACAATCTTGTGTCATCTTTCATATCCCATTGAAGGTTTATAAGTTCTCTGTACTAGTGGTTTTCAGTGTTTTCAACTGTGAGCACTCCTATCCCCACTTGGTGTCATGCACAAATTGAAAAGTATATTATAAAAAAGGTTTTATAAAGTATTTTTAAGTGTATGGCTGTTTTGCTAATCACAGGAGTAGCTATACTGCACATTTGAAAATTAGCACATATTTCTGAGACAAAAATTTCTTCAGTCTAATGACATTGTCTACTTATGATTCCACAGACTCTTGGCCACAATTCACCCCTTCCTCATTTCTTTCATTTGGCTCTGAGATCCATAAACTGAATAGTCCTGGTGACAGTATGTATTCTCATACATAACAGTTCTATATGTGTATGAGGATTCTTAAATTTATTTATACCTATAAGGATTCCCACAACTACTCTCCCACTGAAAGAAAATAGAAGCAAAGTATCCCCAACAATATGATGACTTCTTTGTTTGTGTTGCCATTTTGAAAAGATTTGGTTCTCCAGAAAGAATGGCTGCTATCATGAAATCAACCAACAACAAATGCTGGCTGGGCTGTGGGGAAAGAGGAACCCTGCTGCACTGCTGGTGGGAGTGTAGACTGGTACAACCACTGTGGAAATCAGTATGGAGATACCTCAAAGAACTAGGACTGGAAGTCTCATTTGAGCCAGTTATTCCCCTACTGGGTATCTTCCCCCAAAGAATTAAAAGAATCATACCACAGTGATATATGTGCACCCATGTTCATAGCAGCACGATTTGTAATAGCTAAAACTTGGAAACAGCCCAAATGCCCATCAACTGGAGACTGGATCAAGAAAATGTGGTTTTTTTAATAAAATGGAGTACTACTCATCCATCAAAAATGAAATTAGAGACATATATTGCTAAATGGATGCACATTGAGGTGATATTCTTAAGTGAAATAAACAGGACATACAAGTATAAATACTGAATAGTTTCTCTAGTGCGAGAAACTGAAAGTGTAAATAAGGACTAAAAGGTATAATAGATAATACGAAATAGGAAGAAAAGGGGCAAAGGGGAGGGGGAAGTGGGAGGGTTAGGGGAAAGGAAAGAAGGGAATGGAATTAACATGAGAAAATTAAAAAATAGAAACAAAGTCTTTGTAAATAGGGATGGAGGGGTTGAAGGGAGGGCAGGGGAAGGGGAAAAAATAAGAACCAAGAGAGTATGTAAAGGTGCATATCTCCAATGATGAATGTCATTATATTGTACACCTAAAATGTACCAATAAAAGGATATACAAAAAAAAAGATTTGGTTCTTCTATAATCTATGTCTAAGAGGCTTATGTATAATTAATTATAGCTTAGATTTCTTTAGCATATAGCCTTATTTCTTTCTTTCTTTTTTCTTTTTTTTGGTACTGGGGAGCGAACTCAGGACTTTGTACTTGCCAGGCAGGCACAGTGTCACTGAGCTAAATCCCCAGGCCTATAGCCTTATTTCTTTACCTGTACCTTTGACTTACGAGACAACCTCAAACATCCATTTTGAGTTTTTATTGTCGTTATTGCTAGCCATTAATTTAACCTTTCTGAGTTATACAAATTGTAGATTATAGAAAAGGTGATAAGGGCCGGGGATTTAGCTCAGTGGTTTCGGCACCTGCTGTGCAAAAGCAAGGACCCGAGTTGGATCCCCAGTACCAAAAAAAAAGAAAAGGTGATAAAATAAATAACTATATTACTTTGTTGCTTGCATTTAACTCTGAGGCAGTACAACCTAAACTAGACTTGGAATTGAATTGAACTGAATTGAATTGAATTATTAAGCTCTATGTAAATTGATTTTTTTTTAGGTAAGGAGATAGCATGGGAAGCCTTGCATCTAGCAAATGGATATAAACTGCATGGGAAAATATTGGTGATAGAGTTTGGAAAAAACAAAAGTCAACGGTCAGATCGCCAGGCTGCTTCTCTCATATCATCTACCATTGATAGTAGTGTCACAAGCAGTGATAGCCAGAATGAATATACAGAGTCCTGGATGATGAGTCTTGGATCAGAATCTCGGAGCTAGGATTTGCGTATAAAGTTGTTTGAAGAGCAGAAATTAACTAAGAGAGGAAAAAAGTAATTAGGACAATGCCTTTCAACTGTTGGAGATAATTAGAACAAATTTTCTACAATGAAAAACTATATAGGACAGATATCCTGAGTATTAAGGGTAATACACAAAGAGTATTATTTTCTCAAAGTAAAGTACATAGGATTATTTCTGAGAATTTTGTAAAATCTTTATCATTTTCTGATATCTTCAATATTTACCCCTAGAAATAACATTCTTTTCAGGCCTATCTCCTTTGTCCCTAATTTTATAAACCCAGTAAATAAAAGAGCAGGCCCTCAGGCCTAAGCCTCAACAAATGCTATTATGTCAAAACTACTAACAGAAGATAGTTTCATAAAGTCAGCCAACGTATTCTACACCAATTTATCAGTCTTCAAAAAAAATCTATATATTTTGCCAGGGATTTAGCTCAGTGGCACCTTGCCTGCTTTGCAAGCACAAGGTCTTGAGTTTGATTCCTGGTACTAGAAAACGAAAATCTATATATTTTTATAGTGAAATCTTTTAGATCAAAATATTGGTGTTCACATGGCCATTTTATAAGCTAGGTGCCATTGAGTAATCATTGAATTCAAAGCAATAATCATTGGGCATGTAATATATTAGATATATGAATTTTAGAAGAAGAACATGCTAGCAAGAATACCAAAGGGACATGGAAAGAGTTCTGTAGAAGAGAGATAGCCTGTCTCAAATCCCCTGCTTGTTTGTGGTTGCTGAAAAAATAGAAGAACAATATGGTGTACAAGAAGTGCTACAAACTTTGGAGTCAAACCTTTAAACCTCACAGCCATACTTTCCACTCTGAACTTGATAAGTCATTTAATGTGGCCCTCAGTTTTCTCATCTATAAAATGAAGATAATAATACTACTTACCTCATTAGGTTGTGAGGATTAAATGAGATATTATCCAGGGTGAAGAACAAAGAAAAGAGAATGAATAAAATTAGAGATTAAGGATTTGTAAGATATCATTAAGCTTTCAATGTACGTTTATTGGTAGTACCAGAAAAAGAGAAGAGAGCAGAAAAACATTACAAGAAATAATGTCTGAGCCAGGCGTGGTAGCATACATCTGTTATCCTAGCACTTGAGAAGCTGAGGCAGAAGGATCACCACAAGTTCGAATCCAGCATGGGCTACATAGTTCAAGGCCAACCCTGAACTACATAACAAGACCCTGTCTCAGCCCAAGTAAGAAAAGAAGGAAGGAAGGAAGGAAGGAGAAGAAAGGAAATCTGAATGCTTAAAATTTGATGAGAAGCATTATTCTACACATTGAAGAAGTTCAGCAACTCCCAAGTAGGATAAAGAAATCTAAAAACAGATATATCATAATAAAAATACTGGAACCCAAAGACAGAAAAATCTTTACAGCAACACAAGAAAAATGAACTGTCACTTATCAGTGAACTCCAATAAGATTAACAACTCACTTCTCATCAGTGGTGGCTGTGAGATAACATTTAAAGTGCTCAAATAAAATAATTGTCAAACAAGAGTCCTATATACAATAAAACTTTTTCAAAAATGAAGGTGAAATAAAACATTCCACATAAGAAACTGAGAGAACTTGTTCGTAGCAGACCTCACAGGAAATAGAAAAGGAAGTTCTTCAAGTGGAAAGCAAGTGACCTCAGACAATAATTTGAATCTACACTCTGAAAAGGAATGGAGATAATTATACAATTATAAGAGACAATCTAAACTCATTTTTCCTTTGTTCCTTTAATTTAAAAACAATTGTGTAGAACTGTATGTATATAGTTGCATTGCTCTGCCTGTAACATATAATAGTGTAATATATTTGCCAATAATAGAAGAAAGAAGGTAGGTGGAAATAATGCTGTGTTTTACTAAAGAAATGACTCTAGATGGTAGCTCAAATCCATAGGAACAAATGAAGACAAGAAAGGACAAATAAAAAGGTTAATTTTTTTTAAAAGCTGTAAATACATAATTGTTCTTTTTTCTCTCAGCATCTTTGAGAGGCATAGAATTATATTAAGTAATAATTATAATGAAATATTGTTGGGTTTATAACGTATGTAGAAATAATATATATATCATACCACAAAATGTGGAGAAAGGAATGTGTTTACATGGGAGTAAGATTTCTGCGTATCACTAGCATTTAGTATATACCTTTAGCCAATCCAGTTGAACTAAGATGTATATGGTAAGCCTTAAGCAAATACAGAGGAAATAACTTTTTAAAAATTAAGATATTATTAAAGAACTTTTAAAATGTCACATTAGAAAATATTTAATGCAAAAAAACCTTCAGATCGAAAACAAGTAAAATGGCAGTTATAAATCCAGCATATCAATATTGAAAATAAATATGAATGAATTAAACTAATCAAGAGGCAAAGATTGCCAGACTGAACAAAGAAAACAAGATTCAACACTATGGTGTTTGTCAAAGACACACTTTAGATTAGAGAGTACAGAGATTGAAGGTTAAAAAATGGAGAACAAATGTATAGTGAAAATAATAACCATAAAGAGAAGTGGCTATATTAATAGCCAACAAAATAGACTTTAAAACAGAAACTATTACCAGAGGTAAAGAATCATTTTATAATTATAAAGGGGTCAGTCTTACAGGAAAATGTAACAATTATAATCAGCACAGCCCCAAAATACATGAAGCAGAAAACAAAAAAAATGAACATAGAAATAGATAAATCTACAAAAACAGTTGGAATATTCAGTACTCCATTTTAAATAATAGAAGAACTGGGCACATGATAATCAAGGAAATAGAAGTCTTGAGCAACACTTTAAGCCAAATAGATATAAAAGACATCTATTGAACTTTCCACCCAAGAACATTAGAATACATATTCTTCTCAAGTGCACATAAAACATCTCTAGGATAGATCATAAGCTAAGTTACAAAACAAGCTTTTGTAAGTATATGTGGACTGAAATCATGTTCTCTGACCACATAGAATGAAGTTAAAATCAGTAACAGAAAATTGAGAAACTCACAACTATGTGGAAATTAGGCACACTTTTAAATGACCAATAAGTCAAAGAAGAAATCATAAGGGAAATAAGAAAGTCCTTTGAGATCAATGAAAATGAAGGCAGCATACCAAAACTGATAGGATGCAACAAAAGCAGTGCTTATAGGGAAATTTATAGATAAAAACCTACCCAAAGAAAGGCGATCTGGAGAGGGTGAAAAGGGAGTAAAATGATCAAGATGTGATATGTATATGTACCAAATCCCAAAACAATGTAATTATTATGTATCACAAACATACTAATAAAAAGGAAAAAAGAGCACATAATAATAATAACCTCCCTTTACACCTTAAGACCCTAGAAAAAGAATAGCAAACTGAACCTAGAACAAGGAAAAGGATGGAAATAAAAAAGATTAGATGAAAAATAAATGGCTTAAAGAACAGGAAACAGAAAAATCAATCCATGAAACTAAGTCAAAGTTGGTTCTATAAAAAGAACTACAAAACTCAGTCTTTTTGGTAGAATTGCCAGGAAAAAAAGGAGACTCAATTTATTAGAATCAGAAATGAAGGAGGAACAATACTGACCTTGTAAAAATAAGGATTAGGAAGAAATAATATGAACAATTATATGTCAATAAATGAACCTAGATGAAATCACAAATTTCTAGAAAAACTACCCTAAGCAAAAAGAAATAGAAAATCTGAATAGACCTAATAACAAGTAAATACATTAAATGAACACTACCCACAATGAAAAGCTCAGGCTCAAATGGCTTCTTAGATGAATCAAACATTTAAAGAAAATTAATACAATTTCTCCAAAAACTCTTCCAAAAGTTGGCACATACTATCACATGGAAGAACCCTAAGAATGTTCAGTGAAAGGAACCAATCACATATGACTACATATAATGTGATCCTGTTTAACATGAAATGTCCAGAATTGGCAAATATATAGGGATGGGGGATTAGTGGTTGCTTTAGGTTGGAGTGGGAAACAATGTAATGGAAAGGACTGGGGGTAAGGGCTGAAGTATATGGAGTTTTTTAGAAGTTGGTGAAAATGTTCTAAAAGTTTTTGTGTTGATTGTGCAACATTATGAATATACTAAAAACCCATGAATTATACAATTTAACTGGTTGTAAGATATATAGATTATACCTCAATATTACTGTCACAAAAATAGAAAGTTGGGTATTATCCAAAGTCATAAGTAACTTGGCACATCCACTTAGTGAAATACTATGCAGCCATTAAAATATTGGAGTGGATCTATGAATATATTCTGACCTGTACTCATATCCAAGATTTTGTATTAATTTAAAAATTAGGATTATTTGGTATTATATATATGTATATATGAGTATATGGAATATTTGTATATAGGTATTTCAAAATAAACTTAGGAAAAAGATAAATATATATACCAAATTGTAAGCTTTTTGAAGGTAGAATTGGATAGGCTGAAAAGAACTTTCACTTTATAAAATTAAGATGGTGTGGTTCAGAGTGATTTTTACTTTTTTTCAGTATTTTTTAAATTTTAAAAAATGTAAATATTCTTGCAATGACTTGGCTTCCAAAATATTTTTCAGACCCACTTTGAGGATACCTTCTGACTATACTCAGGACAAACTCCTATTTCTATGATATACTGCTCAGTTAGGATTAACTACCTAGCTTTAAATACAGTTTAAGGGATAAGAAGTAAATTATCCCAGTATAACCTTTTGCACATGTTACCCAAAGAACATACATCTCAGCTGGACTTGCCACAAGAAACTGTTTTCTGTTAGGTGAGAACTCTTACCTCTGCCTTTTACTAGACCTACAGACCACTAAAAATAGAGGAAAATACTATGGAGAATACCTTTACAACTGGTGCATAGATAAACTGTAATATATCCAGACAGTAAAATTCTCTTCAGCAATAAAAATGAATGAACCACACATGCATCAACTTGGATGAATCTTAAATGCATTTTGCTAGATAGAAGAGTACAGACTTAAAAGGCTACTTACTGTTTAATTTTATATATTTGCTAGAAAATCAAAACCATAAGGATGGAGGAAAAGCATCAGCAAATATCGGGTTAAAGCTGGCATACTTCTTGACTACAAAGTGGTAGCACAAGGGGTTCTTTTAGTAATGGAAATTTTCTGTATGTTGGTTGTTATTACCTAAGTGTATGCATTTGTCAAAACTCGGAATTATACACCAAAAGGATGACTGTAAATTTTTAAATAAATGTATTTTTAATGAAAGAAAAATTTTGAGTCATTTAATTAACTAGTACACATATTCTGTGGTTTTTGATTACCGTTGAAAAGTTAAAGACATTTTGCTACTATTCCTTATTTTCTGCCCACAGGTGAGCAGAGATTATTAGTTTAAAAATCTATGCAATATTCACACACAAACCCAGCATAAAAAAAAAGAAAAACTGGAAATACATTTGTTATCATGAGGAACTAATTTCCTTAACATACAATGTGCATTTTTTTTTAGTGCAATTGTTTCCCTTTATCTGTGGGGGTATATTCCAAGACCAATAGTGGGTGCTTGAAACTATGAATAGTACCAAACCCTATATATACTGTTTTTTTCCTGCATGCCCAGTATCATTACCACATAATACTAGAGTTAACCTGTCCTGCATTTAATGCCCTGTGTCTTCTTTACATCAGGACTTTTGCACTTTTGGGCTATAATTAAGTAAAATAAGGATTACTTGAACACAAGCATTGTGGTACTGTGACAGTCAATCTGATAACTGAGAGAGCTACTGAGCGAATAACTGGCAGGTAACATATAGTATGGATACCTTGGCAAAGGGATTATTTACATCATGGAGTGGAATGATGGGAAGTTTCATTACATTATTCAGAAAAGTATAATTTAAAATGTGAATTACTGGTCTGGGGATGTAATTCAGTGGTAGCACACTTGCCTAGCATTTACAAGGCCCTGAGTTCAATCCTCAGTATTGTGGAAAGTATATATGAATTATTTATTTCTGGAATTTTCCATTTAATACCTTCAAGCCATGGTTGACTAAGGGTAACAAACTGGAAAGTGAAACCACTAGTAAGGGAGAACTATTTATAAAATCAATAGAAAATTTTGAAAGTGTTTGAAAGAATTATAAAAAAAGTAAATGACTAACAAACAGAGCAGCAATGCAAATTAGGGAAATTTGTGCCCTCTTTGTGTGTGTGTGTGTGTGTGTGTGTGTGTGTTACTGGGGATCAAACTCAGATGCTCTACCACTGAGCGATGTCCCAATCTCTAATTTTTAAATTTTGAGACAAGATTTCATTAAGTTGCCCAGGCTGGCCTTGAACTTGGGATTCTCCTACCTTAGTCTCCCAAATAGCTGGGATTACAGGGACCACTGCACCCAGCATGAGCTCTTTTCTAAAACATAGATTTTATAGAAAATTTGCAAAAATAGACTTCCTACATATCCTTCACTCAGTTTTCTGTTAACATCTTACTATTGTTCAGTTATCAAAACCAGAAAACTAATATTGATAACCACTAGTGACTAATAAACTTGCTGGAATTTTACCAGTTGTTCCCCTAACATCTATTTCTCATGCGGGATCAAATCCATAATCCCACATTGCATTTTGTTATCATGTCTCCATTTGTTTCTATTTGTGACAGTTCTTGGTCTGTCTTTGAAGAGTACTGGTCAGTTATTTTGTAGAATTTTCTTAACTAGGGTTTTGTGATTTGTTTTCTTACCATAAAGTTGAAGTTTTGCACTTTTGTTAAAAGTATCATAGAAGTAGGGCTGGGGATTTAGCTCAGTGGCTCCTCCACCTGCCTCGCAAGCACAAGGTCCCGAGTTCGATCCCTGGTACCCCCCCCAAAAAAGTTGAAGTGATCTTGTGTCTTTTGTGCAGTATATCAAGCGATACATCACATTAATCATTTGATAAAGGCATTGCCTGCCA